TAACATGCATTGGACGTTTGTTGTCTCTATAAAGTCTATAATTTTTTTCTTTACATATTATTTATAATTCTTTCATAATTGTTGTTAAATTTTTGTTGTAATATTGTTCAAATTTTGTTTGCTGTGCTCTGTTTAATGTTCCATAATATTATCAATATTGTTTATTTTTTCTTCGGATCACACATTCTCTCTAATTTATACTCTGCGAGTAAGTGTCCGAGCGAGCAACTGTCCTAACGATCAAATGTCCTAACGAGCAATAGTCCTGGCGCGTAAGTGTCCGAGCGAGCAAATGTCTGCGAGCAACTGTCCGCGCGCAACTGTCCATGCGAGCAACTGTCCTAGACCCATTTTAATTCTTATTGAAGCAATGCATTTACCACCTAAAGATTCACAAACATTCAAAAAAATTAACACACTCTGTCGCACCATATTCTCCAACAATCATTGTATTTACGCATGGGGCGACATAAAACAAGAACTTGCCAAATTTTATAAATATAATTTATTTAATAAAAATGATATTGATCAAATTAAACCAAAAAATATACAAGACGAGTTCAAAGAGTGGTTTCATGAAAATTATCCATCATCACCCTACGTACAAATTAAAGCCAATGAAACTTATTCATTACAAATGGCTATTTATTTAACATTTAATCAATGGTTGGACAAGAGGATGACTCTTGCCAATTGGGGATGTGGAATTGATTTAACATTACATACAATTTCAATTCCAAGACAATTTATTAATATAAAAAAAATAATTATTGAAGATGAACAAGAATATCGAAGATTAATGACAATCTATGCTTTGAATGATTGTCTAGCTGTAACACAACTTGCACAACAAACAAACTCAAAAAAAATCATCAACAATCACAGCTAAATGTTATGAAGATATACCTGATGATGATGAAATTACTAATCATGAAACTGATCAAGAACTGATGCATTTATCCTCATTTGATGATATTGAAGATCATGTGGAAATTTATGCACCAAATGATAATTTAACATCAAATGATAATAATATATATAATGAACCAAAGGAAAATATATTAACAAGGGTTTATGAACAAGATGAACCCTATGAAATGGTAAGTGATGATGATTTAGATAATTTTTCTCTTCCAGAAATAATGAAACTACATGTACCTGACAAACCACGTCGAACAAATGAACATGAAACATATCAACAACAATTATTCGATTTTAATGATGATGAAAGGGTTCATGCTCGAGATGAACCCTCAAATGAAATCGAAATTATATCCGACGACGAAATAAAACCAAATACAATAGTAAATCAACATCGATACAATAGCCACCATCAACATTACAAATTATTAACAAGAAATCAAAGAAAAAATCGAAAGAAACGAGCTAAACGATATCAATATGAAGTAATTCGGAAAGTTTATGATAGATTTACCATTAGCAATATCAAGAAAATCTTAATATTCATGAACATTTCTTATGTGAATATAAATATCGTCGGACATACGTTATTTTTAGGTGTAAAGAACGAACAAATAAAAAAAGAAGTTGATGAAACATTACACGGTGGCTTATTTACTGAAGAACATTATTATCATATTCGCAAGAAACTACGCCTCGACAAATAAAAAACAAATATATATATATGTTTTTTTTAAAAAAAAAAAAAGAAATTTTCATTTGTTATTTCGTTTTCTTTCGATAGACCGTCAAATTTATTTGTTGAAGTATCTATTAGTTTTTTCATATTACTATTTTTTTTTTGTTTCGTTTTAAACATATATATCATCGTTATTTTTTGTTATGTTGTAAACCATGTGTGCGGACACACATCTTAAAAAAAGGGGGGTCGACTGTTACGGGCTATACCCTCACATATACATCATCATCTTTTCTTTCCCTTGTTTTCTTCTATCACCTTTCTTTGTTTTCTGTTTGCACTGATTTCACCTCTATATCTTTTCTTTCATCTAGTCATCCGCCACTATACATATATACATGTTTCCCTGGATAGTAAAATATATATATATGTGTGTGTATGCGTACATTTTTTCAGTTAGTCAGTACGATATTAAAATAAAGAAGTAGGGTGAACCACCCAGACCCTAATACCCATCCAATCTCCTTGTTAGCTACATATTCAAAGCTCTTTGAAAAAGTGCTCCTACATAGAATTAGACATTGGGCTGAAAGTAACCAGTTAGTTGCTCTAGAACAATGGGGATTTCGACCGAAATGTCTTCTACCTACTCAAGTACTATCAATCTATCAAGAAGTGAAAAACAATATGGCTGCCAATTTATCGACACTTGCTCTCTACGTCGATTATGAAAATGATCGAAAGCTGATTAAAAGATAAGAAAAGCATATGTAGAATTTGGTAAAAAAAAATATCAAGGGTTTTTGACATAAAAATAGAACGTCCACAGGGGAGTAGTCTCAGTCCATACCTGTTTATCGCGTTTCACTATGATTTGACAAATTGTCTGTGAGCTCATTTAGGTCATCTTTTTGCTGATGATCTTAATGTACTAATTAGACCGCCCATTGTGAAAAACTTAGCTCTGATGATTCAATATCTGGAGAAAGAAGGTACACGGATCTGTAATCAAGTATATGTGTACTCCAGAAAATGGAAACAACCGATAAATATATCAAAAACAGTGGTACAGTTATTTCATGCGCAAATATAAAGACCAGTAATGAACATAACAATGAATGGAGAAAAAATCGAATTGATTAAAGAATTTAAATATTTATGGTTCACATGGACCGATAGACTATCTTTGAAGCCCACAGTCGAAAAATGTATAGGAAATATTCAAAGATTCCTAGGAAAACTGAAGTGGTTAAAATTCGGACGAAAAATGTTCTCTAAGACGCTTCGTCAATGTTTCTTTGCATACACTTTCACACATTTTGCTGAATTGTTCCCATTTTTTCTCCTTCTTCCAGAAACTCAGCAGCAAATATTACAACAAAAATTCCGGGTCGATCTTCGCCTGGTGCATCGCTGTCTTCTTGTTTCTGCTCACAATCTATATAATATCACTTCTAAACAGTCGTTAGAGGTTTATGTTAAAAAGTATATTCAAAGAGGATTACGAAGTATGCCTATGACTGATCTTGGTTCTTTACTTTTCTATAATGATATCTTTGTCTGGGATGACTTCGGTAGAAGAAAAAACGATCACCTCTGTCATTTTTTTTTGCGGACGTCGTGTACGACATTTGATAGGAAGACATGAATCGTTTCTTTTAAAGTGGATATTGTTTATTGAAACGAATTGATATAACAAACATAGCACAAATGTAATGCGCTGCTCTTTCTTTTTTCTATTTTTTCTTCTCTTTCTCATTTTTTTCTCTTTTGCTTTCTTCTTTTCTTTTTTTCTCGCCTCCGTTGTTCTTCACTACCCTATTATTCTTTTTTTCGCTTGCTTGTCCTTGTCAATATACTCTTCTTCTTTCTCTCTTCATAATATTTTGCGTTTATATCTGGTCTTTTATTTATTCTGTGAATATCTCTATAAGCGTGAGCCAATACTCAGTGTAAGGATATTAGTGGTATATCTTGAAACGCTTTGCATTAATGATGTAGCTTCTGGCTTAAATATCTTCTTTCTTCTTCTCTCTATCATGCAAGCACTTTCGAGTGTTACATTCACCAGCGTAATAAAAAAAAATAATGATAAAATATCTCTGAATAATGCTTGTATAATCGAAAATACATTCAGTAGAATCTTTATAGTTTGTTTAGCTAGAATTGGATCATTCGATAGATAATGTCTCGATGTAATTTGTTATTGATTTTAATAATTTAAACAACAAACTTTTTCTATGGAGTGAAAATAATCGTCAGAACTTGTTGAATTTTATAGCGGTCGTGACTCCCCGATGGGTAATATTGTCACCAGTGTGCTAATC